TGTGAAAATTCTTGCTATTTTTTGCTGTGGCGTGTGGACCGTGGCCTGTGAAAATGCATGCTAGTTTTTGCTGTGAAATTTTTTGCTACAGATTTAGATGAGACAGAAAAGGATGATGAGAATTATGAGTCCTTAAGTGATAACCAAGATGGTGCTATGTTTATTGATGAGTCCTTAAGTATTTGGTTTACAAGACTATTGTATCTTTGTTGGGTGCCATTTTTTTTATTTATTTTCTCAACTTGCGCCTGACTTCAGTCGGGCGCGCCCCTTGCGCCTCAGGCTCCAAGAGGCCTTAGTGCCTTAGCACGCCTTGAGCCTTTAACAACATTGGAAGTCTGGAAGCAACGGTTACAGGTTCTTCCAGTTTTGTGTTAGCCCGGAAGCTAAGGGCTCTTAAACTCGAGCTTAAGACATGGAATAAGGAAGTATTCGGGAATCTTGAATGGAGGAAGAATAGAGTCCTTGCTGATTTTTCTGAGATTGATCATCTTGAAGAGGCGAGTGGGGATGCGGAGTCTCTACGTTCTAAAAGAGCTTCCTGTCAGGCGGTTCTTGCTGAGAGTGCTAGTATGGAGGAGATCTCATGGCGCCAGAAATCTCGGGCTTTATGGCTCAAAGAGGGAGACCGTAATACGAAATTTTTTCACAGACTTGCTAATACCCACAGAATGAGTAATCACATAGGGCGAATCTGGGTGGATGGTCTGGAGTTGTGGAGGGAGGAAGAGGTGCGCAATGGGATCCTTTCTTTTTATCAGAAGCTTTACATCGAGCCATGAGGATGGAGACCCAAGCTTAACGGCCTTCATTTTGAGGCTAATTTTGTGTTTGATAGAGATGGTCTTGAGATTCCTTTTTCCGAAGAGGAAGTGCTAAAGGCTTTATCAAGTTGCAATGGTGACAATGCTCCGGGGCCTGATGGGTTTACTATGCGGTTTCTGATGGAAAGTTGGGAGGTGGTGAGAAACGAGGTGATGGGTACCTTCCAGGAGTTTCATTCTAATGGCGTCTTCGAGAAGTCGTAAAATGCCTCCTTCATTGTCCTCATCCCTAAGAAGGGTGGCACTTTTGACATTAAAGATTTTAGACCAATTTGCCTAGTGGGTTGCATTTACAAGCTTATCGCCAAGGTTCTTGCTCTTAGGATGAGGGATGTCATGGATGGGATTATTTCGGAATCCCAGAATGCTTTTGTCAGAGGACGACAAATCCTAGATTCAGTTCTTATTGCAGGCGAATGTGTGGATTCCAAATTGCGAAGTGGTGTCCCTGGAGTTTTATGTAAACTTGACATTGAAAAAGCTTATGATCTTGTGAATTGGAATTTCTTGCTGTACTTACTTCAGAGAATGGGGTTTGGAAGTAGATGGAGGAAATGGATAGAGACATGTCTTTCTTCCGTAAAGTTCTCTGTTCTTGTGAATGGGTCTTCTGCTGGTTTCTTCGGGTGTTCTCGGGGTTTGAGACAAGGAGATCCCTTGTCGTCTTTCTTTCTTTTTTTTTTTTTTTTTCTTTTTTTTTTTTTTTTTTCTCATCGTAATGGAGGGCTTGAGCAGACTTATGAGGAGGGCAGAGGATCTCGGTCTTATCAAGGGCTTTAGGGTGGGTAGAGATCTAGCTCATTAGTTGGAGATCTCTCATTTACTGTTTGCGGATGATATCTTGGTCTTTTGTGATGTTGATGTGTCTCAACTTAGATATTTAAGGTACATTCTGGTTTGTTTTCAGGCGGTTTCTGGGCTGCAGGTCAACGTGACTAAGAGCGTGCTTGTCCCGGTTGGGGATGTTTAGGATATTTCCTCCTTAGCCGCAATCCTTGGGTGTAGGGTAAGCTCTTTTCCTATTCCTTATTTGGGTTTGCCCATAGGGGTTTCCTCTAGGAGGGTGGGGAGCTGGGATCCTGTGATTGATAGGTACATGAAGAGATTGGTAGGGTGGAAGAAGCAATATCTGTCCGCCGGGGGGGGGGGAAGAGCACTCTATCGAGCCTTCCTACTTATTTTTTATCTGTGTTCCAAATTCCATGCCCTGTTGCCAAAAGGATCGAAAAATTCAAGTATCCAAGGGGATTTCCTCTGGGGCGGAAGGGGCGAAGAATTTAAGTATCACTTGTCAGTTGGGAGCAAGTTTGCAAGCCCAAGAAGTCGGGTGGTTTGAGTATCCGGAGTTTGGTTCCCTTTAATCAACCTCTCTTGGGCAAATGGTTATGGAGATTCGGCAGGGAAAGGCATCACCCTTGGAGAAAGCTTGTTTCATGTCGTTTTGGGGAGGAGAGTGGCGGTTGGTCTACCCGTCCAGTCTTTATTGCGGAGGAGTTGGTGTGTGGAAATTCATTCGGAAGGGCTTGGATGTTTTCTCTTCCCATATCATATTCAAAGTTCGTGATGGTAGATGTGTTAAATTTTGGGAGAATTTATGGTGTGGTGACCGGCCATTATCTTGTACCTTTCCCAGATTGTACAGTATCGTCGTTGATAGACATGCCTGCATAGCTGACTGTTATCGGCTTGATAGCAGTGGGATTACATGAGACGTGCGCTTTCGGCGTTCTTTTTAGGATTGGGAGATGGACGAGGTATTTGTTCGCTTGGGTTTGTTGTATTAGCAGGAGGCAGTCAGGAGGCAGTCGGCAGAGGTAGTGATGATTTGATGTGGGTCCCCTCTTCCCAAGGTCGATTCGAAGTACGGTCCATATTTCTATGCCTTTCCAACTTTGATGGCCTTGATTTCCAACGGAAGACCATATGGCGCTCTAAGGCTCCACCTAGAGTGGCATTCTTTGTTTGGACTGCTGTATGGGGCAAGATCTTGACGATTGACAATTTGAGGAAGAGAGGCTACTGTATTGTTAATTGGTGTTGCCTTTGCAAACGAGATGGTGAGTTGGTAGATCATCTCCTCCTGCATTGCCCTGTGGCGTACAATTGTTGGAACCTTATATTTGGCTTATTTGGTATGCTTTGGGTAATGCCCTGGTCTTCTAAGGGTCTGATTAATGCATGGAGGGGATGTCGTGTGAGAAGCAGTGTACGCGACTATTGGAGGACAGTTCCACATTGCGTTTGGTGTTGCACTTGGATGGAGAGGAATAGCAGAATGTTCGAAGGGAAGGAGTCGCCCACGGCGACGCTGAAATTTCATATCATTCGCTCTATCTTTAGTTATGTGAAGAGGAGTTTTTGCTCCTCTTCCGATGACTTAATCATTTTTTGGATTCTTTGGGTCCTTAGATCCTGGTTCCACTTTTGTATAAGGGATGCGTTCCCCTTTTGAACGTCTTTTAATCAATTATTACTTATCAAAAAAAAAAAAAAAAAAAGTGAAAATTTATAACTTTATATAGCCTCAACTAAGGAGGTTATTAAAAGCTAAGCAAAACTGTTTGGAACCAAATCCTTTTCGGTGTTCGTTTTCATAAAGGAATGGAAGGATTTGAAATGAAATTATATTTTTTTGCATTTGAAACAAATTGGACTAAAGGGGATAGAGTTTATTAAACTGTGGAGTCACTTTAGTAATTTCCGTATCCCTTGAAATTTGATCAAATTTTCATGGGATTTCAAAATAGTATATTTTATATTTTGACATTTGAAGCAATTCAATCCCATTTATAGTTCCACGGTTCCACCCACATAACATCAGAAGTCACATTTCAAAATTGAAACCCCGTCATTCCAAGCACAGCTAAGTAATAATGTAAAGAGTATTGGTATTTATAAAAAAAAAAATAAAATAATGTGCAGAGTATTGTTAAATAATCCTTTTAAGGAGGTATTTTAGAACTAAGAAATCTATTAACTTAAGGCGGTTACTTAGGGATTAAGCAATTCTAGAATTTGAAAACTAAACTTTCAATCATACCTCCCTTGCCTATCAAAGATGACAAAGATACAATATGTATAACAACACTAAATTAGCCATTACTTTTCTTTTTTCTTTTTTCCCTGGAAGTTAATTAGCCGTTAATTTCACATGTCATGGGATGAAAAATCTAGCTGATTCAGTCGATGTCCACAAAAACTTCCCAGCATCATGTCGTAGCCATGATGCTTTTAATTGACATTGCGACTTTAAATGAATAACAACTTCATCAGCCACTCTGCTCCATTTGACAATCATTGCATGTCCCCATTAGAGTCTGTCCTTGTGTTTTTATTGCGAGCGTTGGTTTTGGTTCTCTTTTTTAATTTTTTAATTTTTTTTATTATACATAAAATGGCAAAAACCACAAGAAAACGTAGTTCTCGCTGAGGGGGCCTCCAAACCCAATATATATTTGCGCTAGGAAAGTGATCTGAACCGACTTAGGGTGGGTTTGCATGCCCAACATTGTGAAAATAGCTGAAAGTTTCTTGGATATTTTTCCAATTTTTACTGCACATTTGCCGGAACGTTGTACGTAAAAGGTGCTTTGTGTCAGAGTCCCATCAACAATTTTCCTGTTTCTTAATGAGTAATACCTAACAGTGTGAATGAAATGTACCTAATTTTGAACTCATTCAGGTGCTGTCTGATCTCAATGTAAATTCTAAGAGCTGGAATTTAAGTGTTAATCATAAATTGAAATACTAATTTGAATTTTAAGTAGCACTTATTTCTTTAAGTGGTATCAATTTTGTATTATCATACGCACTTAATTGAATAAGTAGTTAGTTACTTTAGAATTAAGTACTAAATCAAGTTATCAAACATCTCAGACGCTGCCTTAGCACTTTCCACCAAGTTGATTACACAGAAGCGGTATCATATAGATTTGAAAAGGCCAATTGAAGATAGGTCAAATGTCTCTTTTTTTTTCCACGGTTTCATTTACCATACAACTGTGCCCTTGCTAGTTTATCGATAATTACAAGATGAGATTTTTGTGCCTACCGTTGTCATCTATAAGGAGTTCCATTTTAGATATTCCAGTTATCCTTTTAATTGTCTGTCCAAGTCATCTGTTTTACTTTTTATTATTCATAGTGTGCTAAAGTCATGACTTGTTCTCCATGCAGATGGCGTAGGAATCAATCCTCAGCAAAGTGCAGGTATGCCGGTTTTTACTCTCTTATTATTAGCTTTGCGATTTTCCATTTTCAAATCTTTTGTTATATTTGTTAAAATATGCAGCTGCACTGCATAGGATCACTGTTGTATTTCTGTTGAATACTGATTATCATTGAAAATGCAACAAACCCTCTTGAACTATCATATTCTCATAAATAACCCCTATGAAATATTAATTTGGCAATGCCCATGCCCCTCCCCCTACCTCTCCGTTCGAAGTTTTTCAAAAGGTTGCAAATCCAACTTTACATGTATTAATTGGAAAGAATATGGTCACATGTGAAGCATGTTATACATATTTTTAGTGTTATGACTAGGGCAACAAATAAGCATGCTCAAGCTCGGCTTGACTGTGCAGCAGAGTGCTCGAGCTCGAATTATGCTCCCACCTCAAGTGTCCGAACTCGGCTTTTGGAAGTGTTCACGAGTTTTTCGAGCTTGGCTCAAAACTCGTTTATAGATACACACAAAACAAACACACATGCACAGATCTACATAATTATAAAAAAGTAGAATTACTTGGAAAATCACCAGTGAATGTCACGGCCATGAATGCTATACCACTTTGGGATCTTGTAGCTACCACCGCGATGTGCCAGAGCCCTTTCTGATGTCGGCTTTAAGCATATCGTGAGTTGGATGAAGAGAGGAGTAGGAGTGCGGCTAGGGTTGAGAGGAAGTGACGAGTTTAAGAGTATAGGCTTTCAGAAAATGGGCTTAGGTTTGGGTTGTTTTAATTCTCATGGGTTTTGTCTATTTTATTAATGAATGGGCTTGGGTTACTTTTATTTTCAAAAGAAGGAATGATATAACAAATTGGGTTGGGTTAGGTGGTTGGGCTTGGGCTTATAAAATATTGAAATAGTTAAAATACCCATTATAACTTATAAAAATATGAAATATATATATACGTGTGTATGTTCATGAGCTCAAAATGAGCCCTAAAGAGAGCCTGTTCACAAACATGTTTATGAACAGACGAGTTGAGCAGAGTAATGTTTGAGATTGGCACGTTTTTAATAAATGAGCCCTATAATTTTGTTCGAGCTTGGTTGGTGTAGTAAATAAACGAACACGAATTGAGTTGAGCCTGAGTAGTTCGCGAACGGCTTGGCTCGTTTGCTTCCCTACCCTTTTGTGCCTTTACCATTTGCAATGATCCAACCCTATAAATCCAATTACTTACCCGCTTTTGACCCCAAAATAAATATTTTTATCTGTATTAATGAAATTAAAATTCCAATTCACCCTTTGTGTAAAGGGAATTGTTTATCACAATTCTATGTTTACCTTTTACTTTATTCTCCATTTTCTGGAACTCCAGACACTGTATAATCATTGTTAATGAAATTTTATTTTCTTTCTAATTTATTTCTGGGGTTATGATTGTTACAACTTACAAGTGAGAAGATTAGTAAATTTCTGTGGACGATGAAAAGTTTCTTTGTTATTCATTAACAACATGACACCGAGTAGCAGAAGTTGTAATTTCCATCCTCAGGAAACCATCTCCACTATTTGATTTGTCTCTAAAAGTTGAGTTTTTGACCTTTACTCATCATAGATGATTTCTGTTTTCCCGATCTATATTATTCATAATTATTCTCTCTTTTATCTCTACAACAAAGCAAACTCAAATTGAGACTTGTTCCAAGAAACAAGGACTAGTAGAGAGAAAAAAAAATACAAATATTAGAGATAATGTAACAATATATTGAGGAAAACATGCGAGACTTAATATTGTAGAACAATCATGGGGAGAGAGAGAGATTGGATAGATTACATAGAGACTGTATATTTAGGAGCAGCCAAGTTGGGTAGGTGTGATATTTCTTTTATTTATCTCATAAATAAAAGAATTGAAGGTTAGTTTTCCCTAATTTATGTCTCACATAATTCTCCCTTTTTCTAGACTTCTCTGTAAAACACTATCTTCTTTCGTCTTTCAAAAGAATTGGGTTCATCAGACTATCGAACTCTTTTTAGAAATCTCTATTCTTCTATCCCTAATAGCGAATAAATAAAAGTTTGTATCTATGGCTTGTGAGGTTACTGGTATTTGGAGGTTGCATGCCAAATGGGAGTTCCCACTGTTAAAATAACACTACAAGCCACCACCAGTCATAACTCAAGCTTAGATTACCTGCTAAATGTGACCCTTCTCTCATAACTATTTCACTCTTATCAAGCTCACGTTTACGAATCTCTCTCTGTCAATTTCCAACTTCAATTTTCTGCAACGAAAGAGTATCTAGAATACTTGTCAAATATTTAAACTTTTTCTTTGATATCCAACAAGACAAAATATTCTATTCCTCTCTTGAATTTGTTAGCAGCCAATCTAATTTCACTCTCTGTGTAATAGATGGTTGTTGTGATATACGAAGGAATGATTAATGATGTCATACCAGAGAGAAAGAAGGAGATGACAAATAAGATCCAAGTGTGAAGACTGAAGAGGAAGTGGGCGTTCTAAGGAGGACAGTGGCCAAATTTGAAGTTAACTAGGGGTGGCAATTGGGCCAGACCCGAGGGGTTGCTGCTTGGACACCTATAATGAGAGGGGTATGGTGAGTTCTTAATGGAAAATGTCTGGAGTCAGGCCGGTATAAGAAGGTGAATCCGACTTGGGTTAGAAGTGGAGATGGGTGTGCCATCCGCCTGACTATATGGTAAAGTTACATGGATACCCTTATTTTATATTTTATATATCTACAATGCCTCAATGCCCTTACATAGATACATATATATCTACTGTCATTTACTTAGGGACCTACAGTTTCCATTTTACTCAGCCCCCCACACCACAATACACACAAATCAGCGATCACATGTGAGAGTCTAATGTTGGCGATCATCTATGGGCAGTAATAATCAATTTTATGGTGAGAAAATTTCTACTTCATGCTGATCTTCTTTCTACTGTAATAATCACTGCTCCCTAGCTGCTAGTCACGATCATGATAATCTCTAGCTAGAAATCCTCTCTTCTACTAGCATCTCACAATCATAACAATCAACTCCATTCCTTGCCAGCTAGTCACGGTAAGGTAAATCTTTCTACAGTCTCTCTGTACATTCATATATACATGTGTATATATATATATGTATAGGGTCTTACAGATCTGTGTATGTATGTAATTTGTATATACATATATAGGGTTGAGACGGGTTATTAATTCTATTGTTGGGACGAGGTGGAGCTGGGGTGGCTATAAGCCCATCCTGGTTTTTAGGAGGATGGAACAAAGCATTTTTCATCAGGGCAGGGGATGGTTTATGGAAACCTGTCCCAAACCCGTTTCGTTGCCATTCCCAAAGCTAATGATGATGAGTTGGTCTTTTTCCAATAATGGAAAGGTGGCGAGATAATGTGATTATGAAAAAGAAAACTTGACAAAATGACTTTTTGTTGATAGATATTTTAATAATTTTATCACTGTTAATTGTGACCGAACCTTGTGATCTGATTCACAAAATTTTGATAGTTTTAGGGGTTTTCTTTTGCCGGTTAAGATATTAGATATCTGTTTGCACAACATTAATAATTAGGGATATTTTTCCCTAACAATTTTCTGTCAAATTTATTGTTAAAAAATGTGGTTACTGTTAAATATCACTTAGTTACTGGATATCCTTATATCTGTAAGTGCTATTATTTAGTATTCAATTACTAAGGGCTTGTTTTTCATGTTTTTTAATTTATTCTGGACACGTAGGTCATGTTTCATTTTGTTATGTTTACAAAAAAATAGAAAACACCTGAAAACAGAAAATATGACAAACAATGTTTGGCTACCCTCTGTTGCTAGTTTTACAGTAGGCAGATTATTATTTTGTTATGAGTGATTGTTACTTTAAAACATATAGATTTCCTTGGGAATTTTTTTTTTTTTTTTTGTGCCTGGCCATCCAATCCAACAAATGCCCATTTGTATATAATGCATATACCCGTCACTAATTTTGCGCCGCCCTAAACTTGTAATTACCAATGACAAGGGGTCTATACCTGTCTCACGAAATCCTCTCACGTTGATCATATTCCAGGGAATGGAGCTCGACCTACAAAGGTGAAAATAACACAATCATCCATTTGTACTTAAAAATTAGCTAGGCATATATCCCAAGCATCATCCATACCATTGTAACTTCAACAAAAGAATATACAATCACGAAAATAATTTGAAATACTATTGTTGTTAATAAAAGTGATTTTAGCTCAATAAAATTCATCAAAAATAAAGATAGAAAAAAATAAAGAAGGGAAATAAGCATATATGTTCCATGAATGTTGTTGTTTAGGTCTAGACATGTTAGTGTATGGGGTTGAGCATCTGTTTCATGAATATATGTATTATATTTTCAATTAATCAAATCAATTGTGTGTTGATTTATCACAAAATGTTTTAAATATTTATAATGAGAATATAGTTGTTGGTGCTATAATTTAGCACTATAATTTGGTAAACCTGTTTATAATTGTGTGTATTGGCGTTTTCAGGTAATGTCTTCCTTAAACATGGTTCAGAACTGCGCTTGATTCCTCGTGACAGGGTTGGTGCTTCTTGGATGTTATCGTAGAGACGACGGTGAAGAAACAAGTTTATTTCTTCTTCAATTCTAGTTGGTTTCTCATCCTTCAAGCATATGAAACTGAATTAGGAAAAAAAGGATTCGTTGAAATGAGTTATATATGAAACTAAATAAATAATGATTATATTTGGTGGATTCAAACATATCCATGTCTTATATGATGAACTATAATGTTTTTACTATTGAATGTTTTTACAATTGACTAAGGTATGTCTAGCACATATGGCAATGTTGAAGATGATGCTGCCACTTTATATTAAAGTTCTTAACATCCTCTTAAAAGCTTTATATTATTAAAGTTCTTAACATCCTCTTAAAAGTTCTATTCGTAGTTTAGTTCCCTAAAGTGACTACATATTTAGGTTTCCAATACTGTTTTTGAAGTGTGCTTCTCTGCGGATTGGATATTGTTTTGAACAGAAAAATTTATTTGCGGTCGATGCACATCTGGACCGTCCGTGTAATGCACGCACCTGCATGTATATTACATGTGCGGTAATGAACCCGTTGCGAGGCTCCAGAAAAATTTTCTCCTATGCATGAGTGGGCATGTATTATAAATGATTAATGTCACCTAAGACACATATTTAGGGGATAAATTACACGTACCTCATATGTAGATTGTCTAAATAATAAGGAATTCTCATTTAGTTTCAAATATAACAGTGATCTCGACCTTCCATGCGGTGGTGTCCAAGTAACACTTACCTTTTATTGTCATATAATTTGATACTCTTTGTCTATTGATGTTATGTTCAAAATACTCGAGAATGCCTAGACCTGTCAGTGGAGCGGAACCTGATTCGGATCCGATACGATTAGTCGGATATGGATTAAATAAAAAATTCGATAACCCGGTTACGATCCGAATCTGATAATCCGTTAGCTTAACAAATCGGATATGGATTGTGCTGATCCGATTCGATAAAAATTCGATCCGATCCGATTGAAATTATATATATAAATAATTATATATATATATAATTATTTTTTAATAATTTTACACATATATATATCAATACTCCTATAAGAATTGTATTAGAGGTAACCCCAAAATTCATAATAATAATAATGTTATATATAAATATTGTGGTGTTCTCATATATATGCTAATAAATCTTTTAGTACACATACTAATAAAATTATACTCTTTATAATTATATATTTTAGTAAATATTAATTTAATCCGATTTCGAATCCGATCTGATCCGAGTCCGAGCTAAATAGGATATGGATTGGGACATTCAGTTCGAGAACCTGTTAGTGATCCGAATCCAATAATCCGTTTACTTAACAAATAGGATATGGATTTGATCGATCTGATCCGAATCCGATCCATTAACTGGTCTAAGAATGCCCTCATAAAGTTTGAAAATATTATTTTGTCCACATGTGGAGGTAATAAAAGCATAATAGGTATATGGTCATTTACTGGTCAAAGTCAACGCTTATAGATGTGGTCAGTGTTAATTTTTGAAACTATAAAGGAGTTCCCACTAACCAAAAAGCTTTTTGCATTCGCCAGTAAATTAAACATATCCTCCTTACAACCAATTATTGTCTTCCTTCAATTCATGGCACATAGGGAACTCATGTCTACATATTTTCAGTCAATCAATACTCCTTTTTATTTTTATTTTTTTATTTTATTATTTTTTCTCTCGATCTCGAAATGTTTAGTCATAGTTTTTGAGAAGTATAAAAGTGGATGCAGTAAAATCTGGGTTTGTAAAGATTTTGCAGACACTAAAAATCTAACGTATCTGAAGCTAATTTGACAAAAATTAAGGGAAATGCCAAGAGACTACATTTAAATTGAGGGAGTTGAAAGAAGAATTTAGTGAAAAGTAAAAGTAGTTTGGAGTAATAGAAAATGGAAAAGGATGGCGGAGGGGCCAATTTTTTGAACTTGCTTGAGCAGTGTTTGGAGGACAAGAAAAAGAAAGTTAAATTAATAACCATTTTACCTTTCTTTTTTGTATAATTGAATTTCTATTTTATCTTTTGCACTCCTACAGTAGAACACTAAATTCATATGAGATCATTTCTCAGTTATTTTATTTATTACTTTTTTGTTTTTCGTTCGATTCAAAGTTGTCATTTATTAATTATACATATTAAAGTTAAACATTGTCCTTTCCCCCACATTTGATTAAAAATAAGAACAAAACATATTGATGTCACACTTCATCATAAATGTGATTGAGCGAGGTGCTATTGCAGTAAGGAAGATTAGGACAACAGAGAATCCGGCAGATAGGATGACTGTCATTTCTACTATCAAGTTCAGACACTGTTTGCACTTGATTGGTGCTTACAGTTACTGAGGCCATTAGGGGCATGTGAAAGAGGCAAAATGAATAGCTGAAGATATTGGAGCTTGGCGTAATTCGAGCCAAGGTGGAGATTTGTGATGTTGTGGCCCAAATTTGGTATTGGGTTATGTTGCGACCCGTTATGACCCAACGACTCGTTGATTGAACTTTTGACTCGATTTTTTTCGTATGGTGAAAACTTTCGTTGAAAGTAGGGTTTGGGAGTTGAAACTTGTAATCTCTTAATTTTTGTATAGTGAAAACTTTCGTTGAATCTCCAGCGTAGATGTAGGCTTTGCTGAACTACGCTAAATCTTTGTATTCTTTGTGTGTATGTGTTTACCTTTTCTGTCGTGTTTTTAATTTGTTCTGTGTTTGTTGTCGTAGCAATATCTTTTTTTTTTGGGTTGTTTCGTGACTCCAATGGAACCGTTCTCCATGTGGGTGGTGTTAAAACCTTTCCCTTCTTCTTTGACATTGGTGGCAGAGGCATTTTTGGTAGTGCATCATACCCCTTCAGTGCCTTGAATAACTCGTGTTAAACCAACATAGCATGCATCCTAACCCGTCACATGTCTTTGTACTTTTGAACCATTTTTTATAGATTTATGCTTGCCCTAGGGATTTTAAAATGGTTTGGGTACACAATATATGCTTTTTATTTTTATTTTTTAGGGGTGCCTTTCATTTGGGTTTACGTGTTTTTTTTTGTTTTTGTTTTTGTTTTTTAGGTAACATAAAAGAAACAAAAGCTACAAAACAAGCATTAGCAAAAAAGGCTTTTCTAACACCCAGAGGACGAAAGAGTCCTAAATCAAAAGAGGGAAAACTTTGTAGATTGCGATGGAGAGCGAATCTACTGACTACGTGAGAAGTAGTAGATTGAAAAACTTTCTATACACCAATGGATATTACTTCCAAGTTACATTCTAAATAATTAAGGTTGTCGACAATGTCACAACCTAAAAGACCAAATTTAAAATTGTTTGTCCGCAATCATATCATATGGTCATTTAATATTGGTATATATATCCATGTCAAATTAATACCCACGCAAAATAACTTCAAGAACCACCAAAATGATATAGACAAAAAATCAGTAAAATTTGATCTCACATTGCCAAATGTTCGAAATTGGGTAAGTCAATATCATATAATTTTTTTCATCTCAGTCTAATTAATTACATTATGGACCAGTTCGCAACGGGTAAATTTCTCACATTAACCTACCAGAATCAATCCTATCATCGTTCTTATCGCAGAATCAATGCTATATATGATCGTTCTTATCGCAGAAATATTAATTACATTATGATTTATGGACTAGTTCACAATGGTCCATATACCATTTTACTTTACTCTCAATGTCACCCTCAGATGTTGAGATCCATAGTATTTTATTCCTCTCTCTTCCTTGGCAACTAAGGTACAATCTACTATAAGTTACAAGAGCTAGCAAACCCTAGCCTAATCTATGTGTTGATCAATATACATAAAGTTTGAGTAAAATGGGGTGCAGATTGACACTTCCAATTAACCCTAATTTCAGCAAATGGCCGAAAGGACGTCTGGAAACTTTTCAAAATGAAGGTCTACGCAAAGGTTTTGATAGCTCGGAATCCGAAAACAGAGAAACGAACTCCAGCGGACAAGCACGGTGAGACCAACCCCGTATGGAACCATGCAGTCAAATACACGGTAGGCGAATCCGCAGTGAACCATGCAGTCAAATACACGGTAGGCAAATCCGCAGTGTGCTTTCATGGTGTAATGGTGGCCATAAAGTTATAGTGTAAGCGTAAGCTATGCGACCGGTATATTGGTGAGGTGAGCACGTCGATGAAACAACTCTTTGACCATGCATATCCGTTCGGAGGGAGTGCCGAAATCGGTTTCCCGGTGCAAAAGGGTTGTAAAAACTCACAGGGAATACTGAAGATTGCTTACAGGTTTGGGGAGAGAGTCGTTATTAAGAGAACCCCACTGTGGAAGAAATTGTTGCAGTGTGGGACTGCAATACTGTTGAAGGTGAGTCTTTGTCTACTGTTGGGGTAGATATTGAAATTCAAATTTTTGTAATAAATATATGTATTGAAGTATATGACAAATATGAAAAGATGAGAGAGATGTAAAAGATTAGAGAGAGAGAGAGCTGTACAGATGAGAGAGAAAGCTGATATTGTTATTCATTTCTCACACCACAATTGTGTACATAAGTTGCCTATTTATAGCCATAAAGATGTAGCTACCAAGCAGCTTGTTTGATAAGCTGCAATCCATTAATCACATTTCAATTGGCTAGTACCCCACATATAAAGCTTCCCTTATAAGCCACAATTGTGGCCTTGCCCTCCACACCAAAACAAGTATGTCTACATATATCATCATTGCATGTGGACCCCACATATATATAGATAATACTCCCCCTTAGGGTCCACTGCACTACACTAAGAATATGCCTCGTTAAAACCTTGTTAAGGAAAATCCAGTGGGACAAAACCTTAGCGAAGAAAAAAGAGTACAGTATCCTTGTGTATCTGAAAATGGCATTGCATAGGTTAAAACTGTTTCATTAAAACCTCGCCAGGAAAACCTAGTAGGATAAAACCTGGATGAAGGAAAAAGAGTACAGTATGCTAATACCTTTGATCAATTGCTCCCCCTCGTTAGTTCAACCCTGAAGATCCTTTAGTTGACGCATTCCAATGTTGTGCACCAGCTTCTTGAATGTTGTAGTTGAAACCGTTTTAGTGAATAGATCTGTTAGATTTTCGCATGAACGTATCTTCTGAATATCAACAGCACCATTTTTTTGGAGTTCATGTGCATAAAAGAATTTTGGTGAGATGTGTTTGGTCCTGTCACTTTTAATATACCCTTCTTTCATTTGTGCAATGCATGCCGCATTATCTTCATATAATATTGTTGGGTCTTCTTTTATTGATGAGAGATCATATGTTGTTCGAATATGTT